TCTTTGTTTCTAGTTCATGAAGGGCATCTTCTAACTGACCAACTTCTCTAGGTTGTGGCTGACCCGGGCAGCCAGCACCACTTCCCTCCCAACATGTCAGCCCAGGCCACCACCAGACTCTGGTCTCATCCCTGAATCTCTCCCATGGCTGGGCATGATGCCTGACAGTTGATAGGTCGACCTGGCCTTCTGTGGACCACCTGCTGCCTTCAGTACCTTGTGCTTTCCAGGAACCTGAGAACCAGCTGACCTTAAGGAGCACTGCCAATGAGCACAGTACAGGTCACTGCCACCTGTGCCCACAGGCACCATGAAGCATTCACTCGTGGTGAGTGAAGCACCTACTGGGTCTGATGACAGCAGTTATCTCTTCTTGTCTACATCTCCCCAGGACCCTGCCAAGAGGCATGGCTCTGCTTGCCAGTGCTCCAGCCTTTGTCGGATAGATGGACTCTCAGATTCCACCATCAAGGCCGACGGAGAGTGAGAGTCCTGCCAAGCCCCATCTCCACCCCATCCTCCCCCAGGAGGAAAGGCCCCTTCACATACTTCGCTCTTCACCAGGTGAGGAAAGGCAGATGAGTGCCACTGAAGGGCTCTGAGACCACAGGAGATGGGGTCAGTGGGAGGGGACCATTTCAGAGGAGGTGAGAGGGAAACTGAATTTTTGCACAACAGGTAAAAAAACAACAAAAAAGGGCTTACTGATTTGGACAATATTGAACATAAATGTAGAAGCTACAGGTGAATACCATATTAAAATCCTCTTTCTACGACAGCTGGGAGTTGTGATTTCGTCCTTTCATTTCCTGCATTTAAATGAAACAGACTCACTCCTCATTCAATAAGAAGTCTTGCAGGGTTATCAGTTTATTTTAGGTGTGGGATGTGAGAAGGGCCAGCCACAACTCTCCAGCCACTGCGAGACAGGCCCAGACACTCTTCCCTCGGAGGACATGGTCACATCAGTATTGTGACCCTGGACAGGGGCAGAGGCAGCCCCTCAGAATTCCTGGCATTTAGCGGTCAGAGGTACGTTCTCAGGTATGGGAACAACCACTCAAATTTGGGAGTCTTTATACAGCCCTTGCCAGGACTGTTGCCTCTCCCAGGACAGTAGCTGCATTATTACAATTTGGAGGAAGAGGGAAACTTCTGCTTCTCTTGCTGAGATTTCTTCTGACAAGAATTGAGAAATTAACAGTTTTCAAGGTCATACTCTGGAACTCCATCAGACCATAGTGGGAAAAATCGTAAAAACAAAACAAAAGCCAGAAGCAAGGGAGAACACATATGGAAAGGATGAGGCCAGAGAAAGGTTATTAGTAAATGTACTGAGAGCAGGCAGGACTTAGCCTCTGCAAGCCTCCCCAAGGACTTCCCATGGTCCACTCTTTACCTACACTTAACACCTCCTGGGAGGTGGTCTCTGACCTCAGAATTCCTTTTCCTGCTGGCTTCTTGTCCAGGGGAAAGGTTTGTGATGCAGAATTTAGAGCTACAGCTGGGCCTCATCCCATAAGCATCCCCACAATGCCTTGCACAATAGCTTACTCCAGAAATGCCCTAGACGGGGACACTATGGTCACTCTGGTCAAGGCCTGTGCCTTGGTTATGTGACAGGAGTGCCAACATTTCCCATGAGGAGGCTGAAAGATGTAGCCTGACAGGTGAGGGGTGTCACCAGAAATGACCATCCATGGGCACCACAGTCGCTCCCTTACCAATACCAGAATGCCTCCAATCCGTGGGAAACACACACTGCCCTGAGCTTACTGGAGTGCCCTCCCATATCCTTCCCCAAGACCAGAGGCTGAAGGGCTACACCAGACATGCCAGAAAGCCTCCAAGGCCCTACATAACTTCCTGTGTGTCCCGTCACAGACTTCCAGTAGCATCCCAACAGACAGCCTACAGAAGCAAGAGCTAGGTGAATTAGGGGGCAATTCTGAGTTATCCCCTCCTCCCCAGTGGCTGCAAGTATCACCTACACACACAGCAGGGCTCACGTCTGCCAGGCCCAAGGAGTGTGCAGATCGTCCAACATAAGCCACCCGGGTGGCTCAGTTGGTTAAGCATCTGATTGTTTTTGGCTCAGGTCATAATCTCAAGGTTCATTAGACTGAACCCCATGTCCGGCTCTGTGCTGACAGTGTGGAGGCTGCTTGGGATTCTCTCTCCCTCTCTTTCACACTCTCAAAATAAATAAACTTTAAAAAAAGAACAACATGGAGCAAGAAGCTGCTCACATGTGGCATCTCTTGGTTTGGATGGTCCAGAATTGTCACATGTGGCACTTCTTGGTTTGGAAGATCCAGAATTACCACGCAAGGGACGCCAGATGAACGATCACACATGCAGTGGTCATGGGTTTGCAGAGCGAGTATCTGATGGCACACCGTGGCTATGGAGGGAGCTGTAAAGAGAATGACGGTAAGTGATGACCTGGCCTGGGACAGTCCAGGGGTCCCGAATGGGAAGTGTGCAACAAGACAGGGTCTGATAGCACCAAGTGGGTGTGCTAGGATCAAATGTTTGACAGCACAGGAGGAGCAAGTGGTAAGCACTGCAGAAGGATGTGCTGGGGTGAAAGCTGGAGAAGAAAACACACAAGCATAGACTGTGGATTGTGCACAAGTGTGTAAAAGGTGACCGAAATGGCAAATAATGGCTGTGCAAAGAGCAAAAAAATGGCAGAGTGGGCATTCCCATGGTGGAAGCTGATGGTATGGAACAAAGGTGCAAGGGGCAACTGTTCAATAACCCAGTGAATGCACACTGGTTTAGTCAGCGTGCCAAAACATGGCTGGAAAACACTTAGGGAAGCGTGCAAACATGACTGTCCAACGGCAGAGTACAGGGGGGCCCGGTGCAAAGGAGTACACAGAGGGTGGCTGTACGACTGCCCACAGCAGCTGGGCAAGGTGCTCAATGTCAGGGTGGGTGGTCAGAAGCAAGGGAACACTGGGGAGTGACTGGTGGTCAGGTCCACATCCTCTTGGCCAGGCCACAGCGCCCACCCATTTGGTCCAACGCCAGGCTGGATATCACTGTTAAGGCATCTCTCAGATATGATTAACTTTTAATGCTGCACACCTCAACAAAGCAGATGACGCTCCACAGTGTGGGTGGGCCTCACCCAATCAGCTCAAGGCCTTATGAGCAAGGACTGAGGTTTCCCAAAGAAGCAATTCTGCTTCCAGGCTGCCACACACACCCTCCTGAGTTTCCAGGCTTTGGACCAAAGGGTACAGTGTCAACACATCTCACTCACCATCTCTCGCTCTAGGTAGATCCTGTGGGTTCCATTTCTCTGGAGAACCCTACCACCCTGTTAAGTGGCACACAGGTGTGAAAACTGAATGGCACAGGTGAGCATGCAGTTCAAATAGACCACAGGGTGCAACGATGAACTTTTTTTGCCTGGCAGAGGTGCCGTGCAAGGTTTGGAGGCTCGACGGGGCAGATGTGCTCTGAACCACATACTGCTTGTTTGGTGGCTTAGGATGACAAACATGAGTGAAGGGTGGAAGAGGGTCACAGGGGCCCTGGAGACCATGGGAAGTACTTATCCATAGTTACCTAAGTAGGAGAGTCCCAAACCTGCAAAATGCTAATACAGAAAATTTCCACTGATTTCACATTAACTTTACCAGTGCCATCTCTGCCTATACACCTCCTGGCTGGTGGGGCATAGATATTTTTGATGGTACACACATACACGTAGAGTTGCTCCAGAATCAAAGTGGGACTCATAATACAAGAAAGGTAGAAAAAAACATCTTTAGGTTCATGGTCTATTGTTTTATGTGCAGAGAGAGTGTGCTTACTAAGGGGCACTGCTAAGTACCATCAGAGAGCTGCCAAAATGGCCAGTAGAAACATCTAGTTTTGCTGGTTCTCAGCTCCATTCAATTCTTTACACACCTTTCAGCATCTGGTAGGTACAAGATTCTACAAAGTTACTGTGGGGGTTCAAGATGGTTAACACAAGCTCCTGACTCTTAGGAGCTTATAATCAGCTAGAGGAGATCAGTAATAAATATAGATACATGCAATGTGGAGTTAGCAAAGTGCCAGGGAAATACTGAAGGGACACTTCTGATTGGGAAGGAGAGAGGTTCACTCAGGAGGTGGCATCTGATGGAAGCTACAAAAGAGGTAGAGTCTGAGTAGATGAAAACATGTAGCCCTCGCTGGGCTCCAGGTCTACCCCTGATGGGAAAAGGCAGGGCTGTCTCAAGCAGGAGAGAAATAAAACCCAGCAGACCCACAGACCCTGAGTGGTGCCCGAGTGCTGCACCACAGTGATTCCTGGGGGCATGCGTGAGGCCAAGGACAGGGCACAGGGCCGCAGAGGGAAGGCAGGTTCTGTGTAAACAATGGCTCTAGTGTGGGACAGAGACAGAAGCCCTGGCCTGGGGGCTGCCCTGGGCCCCAGTCCCCGCCAACAAGAAGGGGCTTGCTCCAGGGGAAGATGCACATTCACACAGTGGTCCTGCTGCAGAGGGTACCCTGCCAGACACACCGGCTGCCTCACGCTGCCGTGGACGGGAGGCCTGTGGGCTTGCAGGCTGGTCTTTGCTAAAAGGCCGGGGGCACTGAGAATCCCAGCCACCTTCTGCCCCCACCTGAGTCCCCAGCACACTCCACCTTATTGCTGCAGATCTCACTTATCAACACCTCCCACCCAGCACCTCACTGGATCCAGAATACTCAGCCCTGGCCGAACCTCAGGACCAGGAGCCTGGACCCTCTGCACAGGCATTAGGGCCCCAGGGAGGCCAGCGGACATCCAGGACGTTATCACGCCCTTAAGAGCAGGAGCCATGCCTGGGACACTGGAGGCCACAAGGCTCAGTGGGAGGTGATGTGTCCCAGGCTACACAGAAGCGTGGAGCTTTATTTCCGGAAGGCGCACCAGAGGAGACCACCTACCCTCCATGCTGGTGCCCCACAATCCTGTCACGTCATGGGGTACCTGATCCACGCAGCATGCATTAAAGAGTCGTGGTGGTGACCACGACCTCCTCTAGCTGCTTCAGAAGCTCCTCAGGCTGCGGCGAGAACATGCTAGTGTCCACTTTCTGGAAGTCTGGGTGGGCCACCACAGACGCCAGCACCTCGGCAATCCGGCCGATGTCGAAAGCAGCCTGCTGGGGGCCCAGCACGGTGCCCTCGCCACCCTCACCCTCCACTTCATCAGGGCCCATCCCCTTCGCCAGCAGGAGAAGCCTCCTCTCAGCGATGATCTTGAGGAAGCGGTAAAATTCTTCAAAATTGATCCCAGAGCAAGCCCTCATGATGACCTGGCCAGAGAGGAGCAGCCAGTGAGCCACAGCTTGCTCGCGGCTCCAGGCAAGTATCTGCTGACTGTGGGCAGGGCCCAGACCACAAAGGATCCAGAGACTTGGCCCAGTTCTCGAGGATGGGGACAGAGATGACTGGGGGTCAGCCAGTGATGGGATGGGTCTGAGTCCTGCAAGCTGGAAACCCCAGTGACCTGCCCCAGGCCCAGAGGGACCTTCACACAGGCAGACCTAGAGGCCACCACGCCCCCAAGACCACAGCTCTAGCCCCCTCTGAGAATGTAGGCTGCCCTGGGGGCTGCCCCACACCCTCCCCACACTGCAGCCATGGCTCTGCAGAGCCCCTCCCCAGTCCCCACTGTAGCCCTGTGGAGCCCCCTCCCCAGTCCCCACTGCAGCCCTGCGGAGCCCCTCCCAGTACTTCCCACACCCCCGTCCTGTCCAGGCTGGCCTACCTGGCAATGATGGTGCCAGTCAGGCATGGTGTCCCTCCACTCACTGACCTCCTGCTGCACGGCACAGAGCTCTTGCTGCAGGAAGTGCCACATGTTGGCCAGGTTACAGCCATTAACCCAGTTGTGGTTGATGGAGATGGTGTCCTCCTGGGAGGGGTGAGGCAGAGGTGTCCCCATGAGCCCAGGGCAGGTACCGCCCCTCCCCCGGCCTGGAGGTCCTTCCAGCCCTCCCCAGCCCTGAAAGGGCTGCTCTTGTGTCCCAGAGGTGCCAGCAGGGAAAGCGGGCTGGTGGAACCTGGCCTGCACGCAGGCTCTCCTAGACAGGGTGGGGTCAGCAGAGGTGGGCCTAAACCCTCTCTGTGGAGAGGCATCTGAGAACATGCCAGGGGTGAGGACTGGTGGGCCGGCCAAGGGGCAGTCACAGGGGGAGACAGACTCTCTGGGGCGGGAGCCACACCAGGAGGACCCCAGGACGTGTCTCCCTGGCCCATCTGGGCCATGCTGCAGGCATGTGGGATGCGGTGTGCCCACCCTACCAGGTTGTGGACTTGGTGGTGCCAGCCACTGGGCACAAACACCATCTCGCCCGCCTCCTGCGTGACCTCCAGCGGGGGGCTGCAGTGCTCACGAGTGGGGTACAGACGGCGGTCAAGGAGTGCAGGGGAGGTCACATCGTAGGGCAGGCCACCATGGCAATCCCGCAGGGCTTCTTCCTGCCCTGGAGGAAAGAAGAACCACTTTTTCCTCCCACAAATGTTGACAGACCAGCTGAAGGAGCGGAAGATGTCGGCGTGAAACGGTGACCTGTGCAAAACATCCCCTTAGTGCCTCTTGGCTGGGTGCCGTCTGGTTCTTTCCAGTGGGACGGCCACAGGCAGAGCCCCAGGGGGGAGAAGTGGGTTAAACTGGCCAGAAACAGGGGCTCTCATGGAGTGGATGGGCTTCAGGACTGCATGCAGGGAAGCAGAGGGGACGAGGTGCCAGCAGGAGGGAGGAAGCGGACAGACTGTACCAGGTGCCAGTGGGCCCCATGTAGACGAAGCGGTAGTCGTCCACATCCAGAGAGTCCCAGTACTCGTTCAGCCAGTCGGATGAGAAGTACACAGGCAAGGTGAAGACGTCCTCCGCCGATGAGTCCCTGGAGGGGGTGGCAGGGGGCTGTGGCAGGAGTGGCTAACAAGATGCCAGATCCTAAGCATTCTGGAATGATGAGTAACCCTGAGCTGCCTTCCAGAGCCAGTGCCAACTGACCACCCAGCGCCAGTCCAGCCACCAGATGACCACAGCCTCCATGGCCCAACCACAGTCACAGCAGGTAAAATGGCTTTGGGGGCGCATCGACCACACAGGCAGGGACCTGACTGCTCCAGAACTTTCCAGCACCACTTCTAGGATTTCACCCTCTGGCTGGACTACGGCTCCAGATGCCTCATCTGCATCACCCTGTCTTTCCAGAGTCTGGGGACCTCTGTGCTTTCACCCCACCAGTGACCTCCAGTCTGAGTGGATGCGAGACCACAGGCCCATATATGCTGATATCCTTCTCTCCTACCTCTCAACACTCCAAATCCCTCTGGTCCAAAAACCTGATCCCACAACCAAGCTGATGGGGCCCCAGGCACAAGAGCACACCAAAGCAGCCCAAGGGAGTGGGTAGCCCCCCCAACAACATGCTGGAACAAGCTTCTGGAGCCACTCACACATCTCTCATGGTCACAGGCCACAAGGGGGGGAACCCCAGGAGCCCCAAACCACCTGTAGTTACCCAGAACACCGGCCACTCCCTCTGCGGCCATGCCTTTATGTGCCATCAGACTCCTGCTTATCCTTCAAAACCCTGCTCCAATGTCATGTCTCTGATGGCCACCTCTGCCTGCCTGACCCAAGTGTTGCTTGGTTCTTTCTTCTATGGTTTCCAGGGTTTCCATATGTGACACTCAGCCAAAATCAGCCACCATATAATCACTGAACAAGTTTCTTGAACAAGTTCTCGTGCAATACCTAGAACGCACACCAGAAAACTCACTTATTGTTTACTGGAAGCCTGAATCCACAGTGCAGGAGCATCTGGGTCTACAAGTCCATACGTGCTGCTGGAACAGGAGTCCCTGAGGGCCAGGACCTGTGTCTGGTCTGTGAGGAACAAGCAGCACTGGGGCAGAAAGCACCCAGGGCATGCTGCTGCCAAGTGCACTTTTGAATTAGTCTCAGGAACCTCAAGGGAGCGAATCTAGTCTCAGTTTACCTTTCTGAACCTTACTTTCCACACCAGCAAAACGAGAATTCAGTCATTCACTCATCCATCCGACACTAACTTAACACCCACTCTGTGCCCTGTGCTGCTCGCTGGGGTCTGAGTACAATGGTCGATGCTTGTGAAAAACACACCCCTGAGCAGGGGAAAGGGACAAAAAAACCCCAGGACGACCTCAGAGAGTGGGAACACAGCAGATGGGACGAGGCTGCCCATGCATGTCAGAGCTCCCAGGGAAAGAAACGAGTGCTAGGTGGGGAGACCACAACACGCCTCCTTACAGACAGAGAGTTGCTGGTCAGTGATGGAGACTTGCTGGAGACTGGAAACTCCCAGTCCAAGGTGTACAGGCACTGGCCTAACTTGGAAAAGCAGGGCTGGAAAGGGAAGGCCAGTCCTAGTGGCACCTGAGAGGAAAGGCGAAGGCTGAGTACTACCTGCCAGCTAGAGAGGGTGGAGTCCTCAAAGAGGGTTCTGGGCAAACGTGAAGCAGAAGAGGTGGCCGCGGGAGCCCACATTTCTCACAGTCACCCACCCTGTGATTGAAGAGGACGCCTCCAACCGCGGATGAGAGCCAGGTCTGTGCGTGCCGAAACACCCTGGCTGGGGGCGGGGCGCCTGGCTGGCTCAATCCACTGAGCGTCGGGAGTCTTGATTTGTGCTCAGGTGGTGGGTGATTCCAGAACCGCGAGATCCAGCCCCGGTGTTGTGGTCTGCGCTGAGCGTGCAGCCTGCTTGGGATCCTTTCTCTCCCTATCCCTCTTCCCCCCCTGAAACAAAATCCCTAACTGGGGAGAAGATGAGCTGCCCCCCGTGTGCAACCAGGGCTCGTTTAGGTACAGGTGAAACAGCGCCCCTGCGCGCGCAGCGCCCCTTTACCTGCACAGGTGCCAGTCTTTGAGATAGAGGCAGCCCCGAGGAGAGAAATAGCCACCCTGGATGTACTCTTGCCAGTAGCTGATGTAGTCTCTGAGCGGCATGTGTTCTTTGGGGTTCGAATTGTACTCCTGCACCCCGCAGTTGGCAACGGGCACAACGACGTCTCCTGAAACAACAGGGTCCGGCACTGACTCCTCCGAGGCTCTCCGAAGACGACCACCCTCGGTACGCGCTCCCACCACCGGCTGCCGGCCCCCGATCCTCACCGTACTTCCGAAGCAGGTGCTCGAAGTTGGGCTTCCCGCTGGACGTCACCCAGTGCCTGCGGCTGCCCCAGCCAGCGGTGAAGGAGCTGGAGAAGACGCACGGCATGTTGGGAAGCAGGTAGCCCTTGAAGAAGTCGGCGTAGGAAAACGAGTCCGGATTCTCGATGAAGTCCACGCAGCCTGGGGGCGGGCAGGCGCCGCCTGGGGGCCGCCCCTGCAGGCCTCGGAAATGATTTTCGGCGTAGACGCGCGTCTCTCTGTCCATTCCGGCACAGGCTGGGCGTCCGCGCCGGGCGGGCGGCGCAAAGGCCGCCGCTGCCCGGTGAGGGGCGTACGCCCGGACTCTCGCCTCCCCTTGTCCGGCCCGAAGACTGGGAGTGATCGGAAGTACTTGCTGAAACTACTTCCGGAGCAGACGTTAGGGGCACCGGCTGCTCACGGCCTCCGTGCCGGCCGGAGCGAAAACCGCGACGCACAGGCTCTCAGAGCCCACGGTCGGCCCGGCGCCGCGGAGCGGAATTAAAAGCATGCGGGTAGAGTTCCTGCCCGAGTACGAAACAGGGAGCGCCGGGCACTGGACGCATGCGCGTAGCAGCCTGCGGGCCTCATTCTGCGCAGGCGCGGGGGCGTCCCTTAGCACCTCTGAAGCATCTGGTCCCTCCCGCGGCACCTCTGAAGCATCTGGTCCCTCCCGCGTCTGAGATTGTCAAGCCGCGCGAGACCCGAGTCTCGCGGTCTGAGGGCCTCCCGGGTGACACAGGTAAGCGGCGCCCGCACTGTGCGGCTGGGCCTCTGCCGGAGCCCGCCCACACCTCCCGCGGCACAGTCCCGCCTTCCACTGCTGTCGCGGTGAGAACCCCTCCTCTTCCCAGCGCGCCACTGACCAGGGGAGATGGTGGGGCGTGCACTGGGCTGACGAAGGGGCATGGGGGTCAGAGGTGGGGCCCTGGGGAACGCTGGGGGCCCAGGGAGTGATGGGGACCAGGAGGGGACGCTGGGCACCTGGAGGGGATGCTGGGGTTCCGAGGGTGATAGGGACCTGGAAGGGATGCTGGGAACCTGGAGGGGATGTTGGGGGACCTGGAAGGGATTCTGGAGGACCTGGAAGGGATGCTGGGGGCCCAGAGGGTGAGGACCTGGAGGGGATGCTGGGAGCCCAGGGGGTTGATGGGCCCTGGATGGGATGCTGGGTACCTGGAAGGGATGCTGGGGGACCGGGAGGGGATGCTGGGTACCTAGAAGGGATACAGTAGCCCAGGGAGTGATGGAGACCAGGAGGGGACGTTGGGGGCCCCGGGGGGATAATAGGGACCTGAAGGGGATGCTGGGAACCTGGAGGGGATGATGGGGACCTGGACAGGATTCTCGGGGCCCAGGGTGTAATGACCTGGAGGAGATGCAGGGCCTAGGGAGTGATGGGGACCTGTAGGGGATGCTGGGGGCCCAGGGGGTAATGGCCTGGAGGGGATGCTG